GGCAGACCAATCGGCCTTCGACGTGCTGGAGGGCGTGGTGGCTACGAAGAGCACCCCGGACAGCGTGGACCTGAAGCTGTCCAACTACAGCACCACGGCGGCCATGAACGGCTCCATCGCCTCGGCCAACAACGCCACGCAGGCCACGGTGGCCGCCAACTACGGCCTCAAGACGGTGGTGGACCAGCACTCCCTAGACATAGCGGCGAGGATCACGCCGCTGGAGGTGGACACCAAGGTGGCCAACGCTCTCCTGGGGGCCGTCACCGCCGCAGCGCTGGCCTCCGAGCTCGCGAGCCGAGACGCCTCCATCTCGGGCCTGCAGGCCTCCAAGGCGGACGCCAGCGCGCTGACCGCGTACGCCCCGCTGTCGGCCGTCGACACTTCCTCGGAGGTGGGCTCTAAGATAGCGGCGGCCCTCCTGGGTCACCACGGCAGCCCTGGACGCCGCCCTCCTCGGCAAGGCGGACGCCAGCGCGCTGGCCGCCCTGCTCTCCATGGTGGACGGGCTGGACACGCCACTGGAGGTGGACACCAAGATAGCAAATGCCCTGCTGGGTCTCGCCACCGAGGCCTTCGTCGCAGCGCAGCTTGCTAGCCGGGACGCCAGCATCTCGGCGCTCCAGGCCTCCAAGGCCGACGCGGCGCTGCTGGCCTCATACGCCACGAACGCCGCGCTCTCCGCCAGCGAGACCACGCTCCAGAGCGCCCTCGACGCAATACTCGCGGAGCTCGCCGCCCTGCAGCTTCCCGGAGGCGGAGTTGTTAACGCGCCGGCCTGGGCGGGCTTCACAACTTGGGAGCTCGTTCGCGGAAGCAACGTCGTTCGCGACCTGCATCTGGAGGCTCCTCTCTCTGCTGCGCTGGCCAACGGCGAGGACACGCTGAGCATCACGGCCGACTGCTACTCCGTCGCAGCGGCGGACGCGGCCCTCGCGGCTGCGCTGCTGGCCTGCTACACCTCCTCACAAGTGGACGCCCTGTTGGGAGACTACCGCACGGCAAGCGCGCAGGACGCGGAGACGACCGGTGCCATTTCGGCCGCGCTGCTGGCCTACTACGCCTCGGCGCACGTGGACGCGCTGTTGGGAGACTACCGCACGGCAAGCGCGCAGGACACGCAGACGCAGGCCGCCATCGCAGGCGCGCTGCTGGCCTACCGGACGGGCCCGGACCAGGATGTTTTCACAACCAACCAAATCGTACCGCTCGGCCGCCGACCAGGACACGGCAACGGCCTCAAGCATCGCCGCCGCCCTGCTCAGCTACTACACCATCGCACAAGTGGACGGTTTGTTGGCTGGCAAGCTCGGAGTCACGGAGGCAGCCTCGGCCCTGCAAATAGCAGTGCGCTTTCCGGACGACGGGGGGGCCGACGAGGTGGTGGCCGCCATAGGAGAGCAGATCCTGGCCCCCACGGACGTCTCACTGTCACACTGGACGGTTCGCCCCAGCAGCGGCTGCAGCGTGGTCCTGGCCACGCACACCGCGGGAGTGAGCGTGGACGGCTACACCCTGACCCTGGCAGCGAACCCGTGGAACATCGTGCGCACCTACAACTTGACGCCCGGCAGAGAGCTGCTCTTCGCCTGCCGCTACCGGCTCGGCACGGCCTCCAACTTCGTGGTGTACATGTCCGAGGCAGACATCGTCTACGACCCATTGTACGGCAGCTTCGCGGGCGACCAGGGCGCCTGGAGCACGGCCAAGCCAAGATGTACTTCACCGTGCCGCCCAACGGAGTTGCGAAGCTGCACTTCGGCGCGCACTTCAGGCGCCGGGCCTGCCCAACCAAACGGCCGGAACGGTGGACGTCTACGGCCTCCAGATCCTGGACGCAACCCTGGAGACCGGCAACACAGCGGAGGAGGACACGGCGGCCTCAGCCCTGCTGCTGAAGCACGAGTTCCTCGACGGGGGGGCCGACGACGTCACGCTGGCCACCCTGGGCGAGGTGCTGCTGGAACCCACGCTCACCACAGTAGGGAATTTTTTGGTGCGCTCCAACAGTCAGAGCTCCGTGGCCTCGGCCAGCTTCACTGTGGGAGGCTTCCAGCTGGAGGGCTACGCCATGACCCTGAGCGCCTTCGCCTGGAACATTGTGCGCACCTACACCCTGGCGCCGGGGAGACGCTACTCTTTCGGCTGGCTGCCGGTACCGGCTGGGCACGGCCTCCAACCTGGTGATGTACGTCAGCGCGGCCGACAACGACTACGTGGGCGTCACCGGCACCTTCCTCGGCACGCCCTCGCAGGGAGTCTGGAGCACGGCGCGCCTGGACTTCTCGGTGCCGCCGGGCGGAATCGCGAAGCTGCCCTTCGGAGCCTTCGGCGGGTCTATCCCCGGCCTGGTGCAGCAGTCGGCGGGCACGCTGGACCTGTACAGCTTGCAGATCAGGGCCAGCGCCTTTGAGGGAGACTCGGTCTCCGTGACGGACCTGCTGGCCGACTCGCTGGCCCTCACGGGCTCGGCCACTCTGGACGGACTCACTGCGCAGGGCAACGTGGGCTGCGACCAGCTGCTGTGCAACGACGTGAACTGCACGGACGGGTTCACAACGGGCGTGGACGCCTCGGGCGCAGTCTCCTGCGCAGCGCTCACAGCCACCGGCACCGTCGCCGGAGCCACGCTGACGTCCACCGGCGCCGTGTCGGGCAGCTCGCTGAGCATCAGCGGGGCGGCCAGCGTGGGCCTGCTGAGCTCGGCCACCGGAATCACCGGCAGCACTCTCACCAGCAACAACACGGCCAACGCTGGGAACTTCACCACGGTAGGCGACGTGTCCACGGGCACGCTGACGGCCTCAGGCGCAGCAACCGCAGCGAGCTTCGCAGCCGCCGGGGCGGTCACGGGCGCCACGCTGACCATCACCGGTGCGGCCTCCGCGGGGCTGCTGCGCTGCGAGAGCCTGGACTGCACCTTCACGGCCACGAGCGGCGGAGTGTCGACGGGCAGCGTGGTGTGCGGCGACGTGACGAGCTCGGGCACGGTCTCCGCGCCGCAGCTCTTCGCCTCCAACACGCTCACCGTGACCAACACCTCCGACTTCTCGGACGATCTCATCTTGACGAAGAACTGGGCGGGCTGGAGCAAGCTGCAAGTGTCCAACAACAGCGCGGCCCCCGACAGCGGCCCGGAGCTGCGGCTGCTGGGCAACCAGAGCGCGCGGGTCTTCCTGGAGCGAGACGGCGGGGCGCACCAGTGCGAGCTCATCATGATCAACGACGAGGCGCTGGTGCAGACGAAGAGCCTCTCCACGCAGCTGTCCCTGACCACGAACCAGAGGAACCACGGCTGCCTCGTGATCGCGGGCAACACGGGCAACGTGGTCTGCAACACGAGCTTCACGGACTTGTCCGACAGCCGGGTGAAGACGGAGATTGCCGAGGCCGACGTGGCTGAGCTCTTGCAGCTCTTTGACTCCGTGGAGGCCAAGCAGTACAAGCGCCCGGACATGAACGGGGACCTGAGGCTGGGCTTCGCCTCGGACGACTTCGCAGGAACGAAGTGGAAGAATTTGACGGGGACCGCGCGGTGGAGCGACGGCACGGAGATGGTCACCCTCGACTACTCTCACCTCACCAGCGTGCTCTGGGGGGTGTGCAAGGGCTTCCAGGCCCGGCTGGACGAGTTGGAAGCCTGGCAGGCCCAGCGGGGGCCGAAGAACAAGTAAACATGGAGGCGCGGAGGGACCTGGCCGACGACTTCAACGTGCGGGACCCGCGGAAGCTGTACCAACTTGCGAGGCAGCGCGACCTTGACGTGACGCAGGCCATGGCCTTCGAGGCGCTGAAGGCCGACGTGGGCCGGCAGGTGCAGGCGCCCCGGCCGCGTGCGCTGGGCAAGTCGGCCGCGAGGGGCCGAACGACCGGCTGCAGGCCGACCTCATCGACTTCAGCCAGAACACGCGGGGGAAGACGAAGTATGGCCTGGTGGTGATGGACGTCTTCACCCGGGAGGCCGCCGTGGAACCTCTGCAGAACAAGAACGCCGAGATGGTGGGCCGCGCCACCAAGCGCGCCGCGCGGGAGCTGACGGGGGACGACGGGAACTTTGTGGTCACGACCGACCTGGGCAACGAGTTCGCCACGCTGGACCGGGAGCTGCCCGCGGAAGCCGTGCACCGAACGAAGCGCCCGGAGGACCGCAACGCCACGGCCGTGGTGGACCGGGGAATCCAGACGCTGAAGAAGGACCTGGCCACGCGCGTGGCCGGCAAGGGCGGCCAGTGGAGCGACCACTTTGAGCAGACCGCTTCGGCCTACAACGCGCGGCCCCACGAGACGGTGCATGGCGCCCCGGAAGACGTGGAGAAGCAGCCGGCCACAGAGTTCTGGGTCCTCCAAGACAACGCCGACAGGTTCCAGCACAACAAGGACTTGACGAACCGCCGCATCAAGGCAGTGGAGGACGCGGGCGCTTTCCGAGCACCGACGAACGCGGCGAGGAGCTTCAACCCTCAGTACGGCGACGTGCAGCAGCTGCGGGCCGTGGACTCCATGACCGTCCGGAGCGCCGAGGGCCGGGAGACCCTGCTGAAGCTGGCGCTGCCGGCGCCCCAGGGCAGCGGCAACGCGGCGGGCCGACTGACGAGGCGGGGCAGGCCAGCAGCTGTGAGGCAGCTGGACGACTTCCTGGCGCCTCCAAGGCCCAGGACCCTCGACTGATTACGGCTACTTTGGACCAAACCGGAAACTTTGCATAAAGCGCTGGAAACTTGTACTTTGAGTCTGTTTTTGGGGGAACCCTAGCATGATTTTCCTGAGAGCACCCCTCTCGGACGACATCATTATAAAAATCTAAATCCCCATTTCCGTGTCCTCGACCTATCGACCTGCCCGAGCAAGACGTCGAGACCGCAGCCTCAGGCATTGAGGCATCTAACAAGGGTTGGACATCTGAGGTGCGCTCAAGACAGCAAGGGTTGGACAGCGTTTTCCTTGCGCAAGCACGCCATCTGTTCACTGCAAATGGCTGACACTGTACGTCACCCAAAAGCCTAAGAGCTACTTGCCGATCGGAGCTTCACACCCACCATGCGCTCATTTTGCTTGAGGGTGGAGATGTACCGCGGGCCATAGGATTGTCCTTTGATCCCCAACTTCGAGATCACGCTCTTTGCCGCGCCCAAGGTGTCCAGGCTGAGGTAGGTCTTCAGCGCCATCGTCAGCTCCGTGTGGAGGCTTGCTTCCTTCAAGGGCACCAGCTCACACAGCCCTGTCATGAAGGCCTCGGGTTTGGCCTCCTCGTCCTTGTCTGCGCATGGGACCAGGTCCATGGCGCTCATCTTCATCTCCGGTGGCTGCGGCTTGATCTCGGTGCCTGGGTTGTACTCCATCTCCAACGAGTCCACGAGATTTGCCGCAAGGAAGAACATGTACTTGTTGAACTCTCCTCGGTTTATCCGGGTCTTGAGGCCATCCACGGCTCGCTCCTCGGTGGCCATGGACGGCTTCAAGGTGAACTTGACCGTTGTCTGGCAGACTCGAAGCCGCCGCAGCATCCCATCCGGTCGAGTCACACGGGGAGGGGAATTGCTTGTTGCCACCGCAAAGCCGTAGGCATGAAGTCCCGGGGACCCTTGTTGAGCTTCCTGCTGCAGACTGGCGCACCTTCCATGTCACAAAAGGGCTTGATGAAGTCATCCGCCAACAAGTAGTGCTCGGGGACTTCACTGGCCCAGGCCAGCCGCTTGCCTAGAGTCCTTGCATGGTAAGGCGCGGGTCCGTCCTTCGCGGTCAGGTAGCGAGTCTGCTGCACCACATAGTTTCCCGGAAGCTGCACCCCGTAGTTGTTCTCTTTGTGACCGAAGAAGGCGTGCAACATCTTCAACTTGGTGTCCTTCCCGGAATCCTGGCTTCCCCAGATGTAGTACATCTCGCAGAACCGCGGCGTCGCGGAGATGGCCCTGGTCATGAGACGCAGCTCGTAAAGGACGGAGTCCCAGTCCCCGTACACCTTCATGTGGCGGAGGATCTCGCACCCGTCCTGCTCCAACTCCTCGAAGCACTCGATGACCTGTTTGCCATTCTCGCTGGCCTCGAGCAGACACACCCCCGTCTCCACATGCTCCTTCAAGAAAGCCAGGATGTGCTCGAAGAGCTTGGTCGCCTTGCTCGGCTGCCACATCTCTGAGGTCGCCTTTGCGTGGAAGCCCATGCGGTTGGCGGGGATCGGTGATCGGAGGACACGCTCCTTGAAATCGTAGAGCATGCCGTCGCAAAAGAGGATTTTGTGCCGAGTCTCGTCGCCGTCGAGGTCCGCCATCTGCGGGCCTGCCAGACGCCCCAGAACGGACGAGGACAGACCGGTGAAGAAGGCATTATCGTTGAGGGGCGGCGGCGGCACGTAGTTCTCATCGACTGTCTCGAAGACCGGGCACCACATCTTGCACATCAGGTCTTCCACGGTCTGGCCCAAGTCGTCCCGGTTTCGCACCAGCCAGAAGCCTCCCTTCTCGAAGCTTTCGTAGGTGGTCCTCTTCTCACCCCCCTCCACCGGAACGTGTACGACCGGGACCAGCTTCGCCGCCGCCAGCTTTGCAAAGTCCACGGTGTTTGCCCTCGCCCGTCCAAGTATGACGTGCTGCCTGCAGCGCTGGAGCAGTTGGTGGTACCCGGAGAACTCCATCTTCGACTTGAGTCTCCAATCCAAGTTGGGGTACTTCGCCGCCGCGTATGCCCACGGGTCCTCCAGCTCGCGCACGACCACCTCGACATCCACGGCTCGCTTCACGGCCTCGCTCGCGGAGTGGAGGGCCCCGATGCCGTCGTGCTGGTGGTCGTTGAAGGCCCTGCCCGCTGCCGCCGCCATCTTCTCCATCTGCAACCTCTCGTGGTGGGCGTACAGGGCAAAGGCCCCCGAGGCAGTGGAGCGGCCCTGCTCCATGTGCCAGTCCTTGGCCTTCTGTGGCAGCAGCTCAAAAACGGCCACGTGGTAGAGGCGCGGCCGCCGTCTCGAAGCCGTAGAGCCAAGCAGCCACCTCGCCGCGCTCCCCCTCATCCGAAGCCAAGGGTATGTCCTGCAGCACCTTGCTCGTCCAGTTTGCGAAACCACCCCCAAAGCCCAGGGCAATCATCAGCTCCTTCGCCACGCTGCGCCGGCGGGCCTCGGGCAGCGTGTGGAAGAGCACGCGGGCGATCTGCGCGAGCTTCTCCTCACGGTGGTCCAGGTACTCCGCCATGATGGGCGGCAGCGGCTTCTGTCGGTTCAAGAGCTGGAAGAACGAGTTCTTGATGTCCAGCTCGACGGATCCAAGGCGATGCCGCGCGATGTAGCGGACCAACTTCTTGAAGGCAAATGCAGAGCGCCCCACAAGCGTGTCTGGGACCCCCATCTCGATCTCCTGGCGAATCTCCGGCGGCAGCTGCTTCATGAACTCTGCCCGAGCGGAATCCACGGCGCCCTCACTGCCTTTGCGCTTTTTGGCAGGCGCCTCCTGTGCGGGCACCCGACCGATGCCGGAGAAGATCCGCCCCTTCAGCCCAGGCGCGGTGCGGCCTGGGCGCAGGAGCACGGGAATCCACCCAATGCCGTCCTGGTCCACATTCACAGAGCGCTAGAACAGGCTCATCAGCACATCAAAGAGACTGTGGTCGGGGCATCGCCGCACGGCGTCGAGCTGCAGAGCGTTGCTGATGGTGAACACGTCCGACCGCTCCCAAACAAGGCGATGGTGTTTTAGGTTATCCTCGGGAGGCTCGGTAAACTGCTCCTTGAACTGCGTGTAGTGCCCCAGTTGGGCGGGTGTCGGAAGCTCTACCTCCTCCTCTACCTCCTCCACCTCCTCCTCCTTGACCTCCGTCTCCATCTGCTCCGCCTCCGTCTCCATCTGCTCCGCCGGCTCCTCAACCGGCTCCTTGACCGGGCCATGGGCCTCCGTCTCCTCCTGGCCCTCAGCCGGCTCCTGGGCCTCCGTCTCCGTCTGCTCCCTGGGCCTCGCCGGCTCATGGGCCTCCGTCTGCTCCTGGGCCTCCGTCTCCTCCTGGGCCTCAGCCGGCTTTTCGGCCGGCTCCTCCGTCTGCTCCTGAACCTCCGCAAGAGCCTTTGAGAGCCTCCTTTCAAAGTTGCGTTGGAGCTCCCGCACCGACTCAGCTTCCTCGAGGTTGGCATCATTGAGGTTGAGCCACTGGAGCCTCGCCAAGGCTTCCTGGCACACAGATCTCTCAAGGCGCTTGCGCCGACGGAGAAGGCCGTCACAGAAATTGATGACCTCTGCGGCGGTCTCCACCGGATCTCGGATCTTGCACAGCGCGCGGTGCAGAAGCCCCTCCAGCTCAGTCATGGGCCGCTGGCGAGTAGCGTCTGGATCACCGACGACCGCCAAGCTCTTCATGCTCTGCATCTCACCGAAGGCCTCTCCAGCGCGGGGGTCCGTGCACTTGTCCGGGTGCACCAAGTGCATCATCATCTTGAAGCTGGACGACGCAGAGCCGGGGAAGATCCTGAAGCCGCACTTCTCGCCAACTCGATGCGTTGGGCTCAGCACGAGCTGCACCGCCAGGGACCGCGCGGCATCCATGGTCATGGTAGGTGTCGAAAGCTAAGTTCCTTCGGAGAAAATGCTTCAAAAGATAAAGATGGCACGTCCCAGCAAGTACCCGAACGCTTGGCAATGACTGGCAACCAGGCCCCGGACATTCGGAAACAGCAGCCGAAGTCGAAGGCGTCTGAGCGGCAACTCCACCCGGTCCTGGAGATGCTTGTCAAATGGCCTAGTTCTGTGCCCCCCCTGAGGCGGTTTTTTATTTATATAAAAATCTAAATGCTTCGATCCCTCGTGCGTCGATCCCTGACATCCCGTGCTTTCTGCGCCCCCCTGAGGCGGTTTTTTATTTATATAAAAATCTAAATGCTTCCATCCCTGGCAGGTTGTCTCCCGTGCTTTCTGTGCCCCCTGAGGCGGTTTTTTTATTTATATAAAAATCTAAATGCTTCCATTCCCGGGGCAAGGTAGTTGGCTTCCCGGTTGCTTTCCGTGCCGCCCCCCCCCCTGAGGCGGTTTTTTATTTATATAAAAATCTAAATGCTTCCATCCCTGGCAGGTTGTCTCCCGTGCTTTCCGTGCCGCCCTGAGGCGGTTTTTTTATTTATATAAAAATCTAAATGCTTCCATCCCTGGCAGGCTGTCTCCCATGCTTTCCGTGCCCCCCTGAGGCGCTTTTTTATTTATATAAAAATCTAAATGCTTCGATCCTGGCATCCCGTGCTTTCTGGGCCCCTTGAGGCGGTTTTATTTTTCTAAAAAAACAAATGCTTCAATCCCTCTGCAGGCAGTCTGACAAGGAATGCGAGCGTTTAGGTTTTATATAAAATAAAAACTTTTTTTTTTAATCGAAACACATCCTCGCGGCTTGTCAAATGGCCTAGCTCTGTGCCCCTTGAGGCGGTTTTGTTCATATAAAATCTTAATGCTTCAATCCCTCTGCAGGCAGTCTGACAAGGAATGCATGCGTTTAGTTAGTTTTATATAAAATATACAAATTTATTTTTTAAAAAAGAAAAGAATACTTCCTCGCGGCTTGTCAAATGGCCTAGCTCTGTGCCCCTTGAGGCGGTTTTGTTCATATAAAATCTAAATGCTTCAATCCCTCTGCAGGCAGTCTGACAAGGAATGCATGCGTTTAGTTAGTTTTATATAAAATATAAAAATTTATTTTTTAAAAAAAAGAAAATAATACTTCCTCGCGGCTTGTCAAATGGCCTGGGTCTGGCGCTGGGGGGGTTTTTTGGGCAGTGCCGAGTGGGCACGTAGGATTAATACTGCTTCGCCCAACGACCTGGAACTCAGCTCCGTGCGCTTCGCATGTTGGCATCCCTATATCACACACCTCAAGGATGAGGATGGCTTTTTTTATTTATATAAAAATCTAAATGCTTCATTCCCTATTCCTGGCAGGCTGTCTCCCTTGCTTTCCGTTGCCCCCTGAGGCGCTTTTTTATTTATATGTACAGGGATGCCTCATATGAAAAGCCGCCTCAAGGGGGCACAGGAAGCACGGGGGGCAACCTGCCAGGGATGGAAGCATTTAGATTTTTATATAAATAAAAAACCGGGTCAGGGGGCACAGAAAGCATGGGAGACAACCTGCCAGGGATGGAAGCATTTAGATTTTTATATAAATACAACCGCCTCAGGGGGGGCACAGAAAGCACGGGAGACAACCTGCCAGGGATGGAAGCATTTAGATTTTTATATACATAAAAAACCGCCTCAGGGGGGCACAGAAAGCACGGGAGACAACCTGCCAGGGATGGAAGCATTTAGATTTTTATATAAATAAAAAACCGCCTCAGGGGGCACAGAAAGCACGGGAGACAACCTGCCAGGGATGGAAGCATTTAGATTTTTATATAAATAAAAAACCGCCTCAGAGGGGCACAGAAAGCACGGGAGACAACCTGCCAGGGATGGAAGCATTTAGATTTTTATATAAATAAAAAACCGCCTCAGAGGGGCACAGAAAGCACGGGAGACAACCTGCCAGGGATGGAATCATTTAGATTTTTATATAAATAAAAAACCGCCTCAGGGGGGGGCACAGAGCTAGGCCAGTTGGGCGAGCCAGTATCAAACGAGGTTGGGCGGACCAGTACTATGGGCCGTTGGGCGAACCCGTACTAAGGGGGCCGTTGGGCGAACCCGTACTATGGGCCGTTGGGCGGACCAGTAATATGGGCCGTTGGCCGAACCCGTACTAAGGGGGCCGTTGGGCGAACCAGTACTAAGGGGGCCGTTGGGCGAGCCAGTATCAAACGAGGTTGGGCGAACCCGTACTAAGGGGGCCGTTGGGCGAACCCGTACTAAGGGGGCCGTTGGGCGAACCCGTACTAAGGGGGCCGTTGGGCGAGCCAGTATCAAACGAGGTTGGGCGGACCAGTACTATGGGCCGTTGGGCGAACCCGTACTAAGGGGCCGTTGGGCAAACCCGTACTAAGGGGCCGTTGGGCGAACCCGTACT